AACTTCTGAATAATAAGAGATAGGGCTTTCATATTTCACATGTACATTACCTACAAGAACTTTCTAAACATACCATGATTTTTGAACCCATGACCTTGACCTTGAAGTTTGACCTACTTTTCAAAAAATTTAACATTATTTTAAATGATCATTTTGAAAGAGAAAAGATAGGGCGTTCATATTATACATGTATATTACCTGTGACAAGACCTTTCTAAATATATCATGACTTTTGACTCTGTGACATTGACCTTGAAGTTTAACCTACTTTTCAAAAATGTTATATTTCCTTATAACTTTTGATTGAGAAGAGATAGGACTTTTATATTTGACATGTACATTACCTGTAACAGGATGTTTCCAAGCATGCTATGATTTTTTTACCCTTGACCTTGATGTTTTACCTAATTTTCAAAAATTTTAACTTTGGTGATTATTTTTGAATGACATATGATAAGGCCTGCAAATTTGAAACAATATGTCATAAATAATGGCATCCCATCCACTAGGACACGGAAAGCAGGGGACCACAATTCTTTGAATTTGCTTGTTAGTCATTTTGATATGGAAACATCCTCATATAGTGTAGATTCAAGTTTTTTATGCCCTGCCATGAATATGGCCGAGGCATATAGTGTTTGTCATGTCCGACTTCAATAAAACGTCATATGCTGATACATACTGATGTAAGCTTTTCAACTGCATCAAAATTTTTGACCTTGACTTTTCCTTTGACCTTGACCTTACTTTTCTTAAATTAGTGTCTAGATCAGTTTTGAATAAACAATTCAAGATAAAGTAATCAAACTTCATATGCTGATATACACTGCTGAGAGATATCAATTGCATCAACTTTTTTGACCTTGACTTTTCCTTTGACCTTGACCTCACTTTTTTAAATTAGTGTTTATCTACGTTTTAAATAAACCATTTCTGATATTTTTATTGAACTTCTATGCTAATAGTAAATACATACTGATATAAGCTTTTCAACTGCATCAGCATTTTGACCTCAACCTTTCCTTTGACCTTGACCTCTCTTTTCTCAAATAAGTGTTAAGCTCAGTTTTAAATAAATCATTCAAGATATTTTTATCAAACCTAATATGCTGATATGTATTAGTGAGAGCTATTCAACTGCAGCAAAAACTTTTCACCTTGCACTTTCCTGTGACCTTGACCTCCCTTCTCTTTAATTTGTATTTTGTTTAGTTTTAAAGAAACAATCTAAGATATTTTTATGTAAGCATGCACTTATACATAATTTTGTGAGAATTTGTCATCTATATCCATTTTTTTTTTAGATTTTAGTTTCAATTTTAAAGAAACTGTTCAAGATATTCTCATCAAACTTCATACACTCATACAAATTTTCATGTTGCATTAGTAATATACATTTGGCGGGGCATTTATGTCCTATGGACATATTTCTAGTTTTCAAATCATGACCTCCGAGGATAGGGTCAGGCCACAATAAGGGATCAAAGTTTTATAGAGATTTCAAAGGAAAAAAATCTTCAAAATTCTTCTTTTTAAGAACAAAAAGAAAAAAACATGATTAATATGGAAACATTCCCAAGAAGTGTAGATTCAAGTTTGTACAAATCTTGACCCCATGGGTTAGGGAGGGGCCATTTTTTTTCCTGTCCCTATTTGCTATCCACATGGAAATGCAAATTTTAAAACCATTTAACACATCCACAGGACAAAATCAATCATCTTCCAAATGATCATGATTTAAGGCTAGTGCATAAAATATAAGGGAAGTTCTGGGAACCAGGATGTTTAAACATGTTAAATATATTTTTTTTTTTAAATTTGACCCCCATTTGACCCCCAGGGGGAAAATAAGAATTCCGAAACCTTACTGCACATCTATAGGACACCACCAACCACCTCCCAAAAGATGATTATGCTACTGTGTAAAATGTAAGAGGAGTTCTGGGAACCAGGGGCTTTTTGCATAAAAAACGTTATTTTTCGACCCCTATTTGACCCCATCGTGAAAATGAAAATTCCGAAACCTTACTGCACATCTACATGACACCACCAACCATCTCCCAAAAGATGATTAGGCTACTGTGTAAAATGTAAGAGGAGTTCTGGGAACCAGGGGCTTTTTGCTTAAAAAAAATCATTTTTCGACCCCCATTTGACCCCCAGGGTGAAAATGAAAATTCTGAAACCTTACTGCACATCTGCAGGACACCACTAACCATCCCCTAGAAGATGATTAGGCTACTGTGTAAAATGTAAGAGGAGTTCTGGGAACCAGGGGCTTTTTGCATAAAAAACGTCATTTTTCGACCCCCATTTAGCCCCCAGGGTGAAAGTGAAAATTCTGAAACCTTACTGCACATCTACATGACACCACCAACCATCTCCCAAAAGATGATTAGGCTACTGTGTAAAATGTAAGATGAGTTCAGGGAACCAGGGGCTTTTTGCATAAAAAACTTTATTTTTCGACCCTATTTGACTCCATCGTGAAAATGAAAATTCCGAAACCTTACTGCACATCTACATGACACCACCAACCATCTCCCAAAAGATGATTAGGCTACTGTGTAAAATGTAAGAGGAGTTCAGGGAACCAGGGGCTTTTTGCATAAAAAACGTCATTTTTCGACCCCCATTTGACCCCCAGGGTGAAAATGAAAATTCTGAAACCTTACTGCACATCAACATGACACCACCAACCATCTCCCAAAAGATGATTAGGCTACTGTGTAAAATGTAAGAGGAGTTCAGGGAACCAGGGGCTTTTAGCATAAAAAACGTCATTTTTCGACCCCCATTTGACCCCAAGGTGAAAATGAAAATTCTGAAACCTTACTGCACATCTACAGGACACCACTAACCATCTCCCAAAAGATGATTAGGCTACTGTGTAAAATTTAAGAGGAGTTCAGGGAACCAGGGGCTTTTTGCATAAAAAAACGTCATTTTTCGACCCCCATTTGACCCCCAGGGTGAAAATGAAAATTCAGAAACCTTACTGCACATCCGCAGGACACCACTAACCATCCCCCAAAAGATGATTAGGCTACTGTGTAAAATGTAAGAGGATTTTGAGAAATAAGAGTGTGACAGACGGACGGACGGACGGACAGACATGAGTAACAACAATATACCCGAACATTCTTTAGAAAGTGCGGGTATAAAAACTTATAAACACCAGTGGCAAGTATTGATGTTAAGCTCTGGGTGTAGTTAATCTGAAAAAAAGGTTGAGATAGCTAGTTCTTATCTTTCAATGGGAACCTAGGGAAGAAACATGGTGCAAGTCATATCTTAACCAGTACCCATCTATAGATAAGAGGAAATTTAAGTACAGTGTGATATACTTTCAGAACAGCTGTCTTAATAATCATTCCAATCCAAAACTCAGACAGATTTTGTTTGTTTGTTTGTTGTTTGATGTCACTTTTGAAAATTTTTAACTCATATGGAAACGCCACCACTTACCGGTGGAGAGCTGAAAATTTTGACTTATACTCGGGACTTAGGGCCATTGAGCAGTGAGGGATCTTTTTCGTCCCAGCACCTACTGCGACACGGAACCTCGGTTTATACGGTCTCATCTGAAGGATTGGTCTCCACGTCCCACGGTGGGATTCGAACCCGCGAAGTAAGGATCAACTCCTTCTCCTCGACTCTAGAGCAGATGCTCTAACCACTGCGCCACAAGGTCGACAAAGAACTCAGACAGAGTAAAAGGAAAACCTATATATACCTTGTAAGAACCTGATCATACACATTACATTGAAAATATTGTTGAAATCTTCTGATGAAGAACAACTAAGCCATTATTAGTCATATTTATAAAGAGGCAACCTTAGGTATTGTAGAATCAATTTTGTTTAAATTATAACACCCCCAGCGGTTGGGGCACAGCAAAGGGTCAAAGTTTTGCATAAGAATATTTAGGAATCATCTTAAAAATATCTTCTACTCAAGAACAGCAAGCCATCAATAGCCATGTTAATATAGAAGCATAGTGTAGATTCAAATTTGTTCAAATTTACGGTGGGGCCACAATGAGCAATCAGAGTTTTACATAGAACTATATAGGAAAAAAATTCTTTGAAATTATTCTGTTTAAGAACAACAAAGCAATGATTATTGATATTGATATAGAAGCATCCTGAGGTAGTGTAAATTGAAGTTAACCCCCTTTAAAATTTTTCAATGCTGAACTGATTTCTGCTTCTTCATAGCCAGTGTGCTTAGATGAGCGATATGACCCATATATGACAAAGAGTGACATTCTCTTCGTATTTTTAAAGACTGTTGTATAAACATATTTTTGTGTGCCACAAATAATTGTTAACCCTAAAGTCTTAATAATGTGATTTTATAAACATTGTGTAGTGGTTTAGATTTTTATTTCATAGCCCTGGTTTCGTAAATTATATTTTGCAAGTATTTGTTGGTATTTCAGTCTGATAATTCTATTTACCTTATGTTTTCAGTTGTTACTTACGTAAAACCCCTTTAATATTTATTAGATAACAGGTATAATTTCTAGAACCACTATTTATTATTTATTTTTGGTGTTGTTTATTTTCTGGGTTAAGATATTTATAGAGTCCAGATTTAGCATTATTATTTTAAGTTCAACTCTAGAGTGTTGATTAGTAGAGTTCATATTGGGTGATGTAGCTCATTTCCCTTACATTTTTCCAACTCATTGCCATTTATAGCAGTTTTTATAGGATTTTTGACCTTTTTCATGAGTATGGAAGCTCAGCAGGGACATAAATTATTTTCAGTTTTTCCACATTCCTCCCTTTATTCTTGGTTAAATTTAGACTATTATTTATTATTTTGTTATCATTTGCAAAGGTTAATTCTCACTTTATTGAATTTACAAAACTTACAACTTTGTTTTCATTTAGCGTTGATCATAGTTCAGATATCCCCTTACATGGGTTGACAGACATAACTGGAGATAGTTTACTGCTTTAAGCCAAGTTGGCTAGTAACTTTGTTTATTCATGCATTTAAAGAGTTCTACTTCCGGTTACAATGGTATGGTTTTATTAATCGTTACCTTATTTTTTTAAACATAAGGCGATAGGTTGTGATTTTAACATTTAACATGAACTAGAGCAAATATTTTTTATTGTCTTTTTACCCTCACTACTTGTGCATAAAATTTCTATGTCTTTCCTTCGGTAAAAGATCTCTTTACTCCATTTTATTTTTCTGCACTTGAGAGTATAAATAGTCCTCTGGCATACTCTCTGTGTCTATATTTTCTACAGAATATGGTAAATGTCCTTCGCTAGATTCATTTGTGTTTCTGACAACATTAGAATTTCTGACAACATTGGAGTCTCTGACAAGATTGGCTTCCCTGACAACGCTGGAGTCTCGCACAACATTATAGTCTTTGACAACAGTAGAATATGCATCTGACGTGCTGATATCATTGATTCCAGAGTAATTACCTGCGTCGTGTACTCCGCTAGCCCTTTGGTAGATGTCGTTTTCTATCAGTTTACCTCTGTAATTGTTCATTTGAATGATATCTTTCATCTCTAAATCTGTTGGTTGTATCTGTCTGAGTATAACATCATCAGGATCTATATCTGTTGGTTTCTTAGAACTGCACAAAAATACAATTAAATATATAGTTAAAACTTGATTTATACATGAAGTATGGCATAAAAAAAGATTTAAGAAAAATAAAAAGTCAATTGATAGCTTTCTTACTTTGATCTTTTTGAAACTAATGCAGTGATTGTTGCCGTGACAAGAATCAAAATGACTGCTGCTGGTATAGTTAAAAACAAGACTGAAAAGATGAAAAAATAAAGCGTTAAAAATCTCCATTTGAGATATTTGTACTCATAAATTTCAAGACATGTCAATGTTAAAAATTCCATATGAAATAGAGCAACACGAGGTATAGTTAATGATTTGATGATTTTATTAGTAATAACTTACTCTGTGGTATTTCAAGGCAAAGGTTAGACAATTCTGACGGTGACTCATTTGTTATGGTTGTCTTTGACGTCTGTTCTGGCATTGTTTGGTTGGTGCTAGTTGTTAAATTATCTGATGGAAATAAAAAGTAAATGGATTTCTGTATCGACCTGTTCAACAATTTAGCAATTATACTTAGAGAATCATTTTTGTTATTACTCGTAGAGTAAAACGCATCCTGAGATTCAAATCGTTTATTGTTATTGAAGATTATTCTGCTTAAGAAGTATCAAAACAAAAAGAAATCGGAATGACTTTATTTAATATGAATGATATATGAATAAAGTTCTATTTTCTACAAGAATCTTTTCTCTATACAATGTATATTTTTATTACGCACAATTCATCAGTTATTAGATTGTGGAGAGAGAGGGAGAGAGACTCACCACAAAACAGTTCTCTTCTAATGTTATCCATATCACTAACAGTCACACTTTTTACATTAGTATTTTGGTAACAAATCTCTCTTTTCTCAGTTATATTTAATGTAGTATAAGGTGTGTAAGTTATTATTGATCCGTTACATGTTATATTATCAATCATATTCCTGAATATCGGTACGTTCCAGAAGGAGATCTCTGTATATGTAATGCATAAATCTATGTTGTACATTGATGATGCGTTCCCATATTCTGTATCAAATGTGGTCCACAACTAAAAGTAGTGAATTGAGTGTCTAATTAAGTACATGGTATTAGAATTTAATGTTGATATCTTCCAGCTGTTAAATTTGTATATGTGCTAAAACATTCTTATTAAGAAATATTACATAAATGATTGGATAAGAATAGTCAAATAGCTTCTGTACCATATGAAATATAAATTCACATATTCATGAAAATATTTCTTTAAAAAAAACTGGAAATCAATAGAAAAGTCATGTAAAGTACAACAGATCATTTTTATATAAAACATGGGAACGGTAATAACTGCACGAAGGGAGAGAGAGAGAGAGAGAGAGAGAGAGAGAGAGAGATTTCACCGAAACGGTTTAAAAATAAATCTCCAATTATTTGTTTGGCCAAATTCCTAATTAAATTTAAAATAAGACTTGTCATGATTATGGAAATACAATATGTATATACTGAACCAGACTAAACATTAATAAATTTAAAAAGAGAAGTATTTAGACTTTCAAATTGACTTGAAGAGATTGCATGTTATTATTATGCAAGTAATTCTTGTTCCTACCTCAAATGACCTAAAAGAAAATGTGAAGTTAACATTCACTTCGATATTTAAGAATTTGCATATATTGATGAACTGTTTTTCAAGGCTTTGTTTTGAGTCTTCTAAACGCTGTGAAATATTGTTGTGCATTGTTTCATTGTTGCAATATTTTGGTAGACCGTCTAGATCCCAGATGGTATAGTACTTAATAGATACTACAGGAATACCTGTAAGAGAGTCGTGCAAAAAAAGACATATATTAAAAATAACAATGAAGGGGGTTTACAAATATATTTCATATCTGCAGCATTTTTAGATTCAGTAATCTTTATACAATGTCATTATATTCATTTATTTAAAAAAAATCCTTTAACTGACTAGTTTTCTTGGAAATGATAGAATAACATTTGTGAGCACTAGAAAATTAAATACAGTGTCATATTAGATGGTATCAGTAGAATATTATGGACGCACATAATTTATAACTTGTAAGTGATGTAAGTGTAAGTCCAAAACTGGAATTTAACAAGGTATTTCTTTCTTTCACCTACGTTTACAGACCAAAGTTGTTGTAGACCAGGTGTTATTTTGACAATTGAATATTTTCCTTTTTTCTCCATTAGATAAAATATATCCCCTGTAGCATTCTGCTGTACAAGAATCATTGGACGGACAGGAAACGTGTGCATTTTCCACCAGCGACTCCACTAAGTCTTGAGAACAGCACCAAATGAAGGCTTCATAGAAAAAGAAAAATTACTCAAATAAATACAATCTTAGCATTCACAGTCATTATAATGATGCATTTACAATTAAATGCCTACCTGTAGAAAGTACCAAAAACAATAAGATTTCCAAATAGATTCTCATTTTCAACAGGACAAACCAACACAATAAACAAGTCTATATTACTGAATTCCCTGTATATACAATGTGGTTTTACGAACTTCCTCGTTTTATTTGATGGCACAAAATATAAATAAATAAGCCATACATAGTTTACCTGACTGTCTTTATTTCCTTCATTTATCTGTTGAAATTCAATTAAAATATGCATTCTTATGAAAAGAAACTCGGTAACTTGCATTGCAGTTAATATTTATGTATCTATTATTTAGTCAAACTGGGTTAGTAATTCACAAGGAAAAGTAAAGCACCTCATTATAATAACAAAATGGAATTTTATGTCATTTTCTTCCTTAATAATAGTTCCTTATCTTTGTCATATTTCATACTCTACTGTATATTAATCAAAGGTGTATTCGATGCACCATATTAAATGCACCTGTTACAATCAAAATCTTTATACGAGAAAATAAAAAAAAAATTAAACTTTTCCTTATGCCTATTAAATAATCAAAAGGTACATTTCCTCCTTCCTCTTGTTGAATTTGGCAATTTTAGCAGACATGTAAATGTACATCCAAGAACAAATGCATTATATAAGTAATTCTGAATATTTACATTATACATATATAAATATAGAATCAAGAACGAGTGCATGTAAGTTGTGTTTAAAAAATTATGAATATTTAGATCCCTTACCTATGCAGCAATATACCCTTATCACCTACATATGGGGTTTATATCTCTCAGTTGATTCGATACGCCAGAGTATGCTCTACGTATGAACAATTTCTAAAACGAGGTAAGTTATTGACAAACAAGTTGTTGAAAGAAGAATATCAGCAGTCTCGTAAAAATTCGTCATTTCGTTAGTTCTATGGTCGATACACTGACCTTGGGCAAAAATAAAAAAATACCTTTGTTTCCCCTAACGCGACCGACCCAATTAAAACGCGTGCACTGGAAAGTTTTTCTCATAAGATTATTCCAATATTTTTTTATGTGTATCAACTTTTATAAAATAGAATTCCATCAAAATCCGTTTTTATCAGAACGATTGATTTTGTTCTGTGATTTTCAAGCGTTTGTTGGAAACAAAATCGCACCCACAACATGTCTCGGTCACGGAGGGTTAGTTCATGTTTTAAAAGAAAGACGACGTATCAACCTTATGCCTTTAGTATATAAGAATCCTACACTCTTGAAACACGTTGTTATTAAAAAAAATATACATTAAATGACCTATTAAGCGTGTTTCGGTTGTATTTACCATCTGTCTTAAAATGAAGTACGTAGATATCAAGCTTAGCCCCGTAGGCCCTCCTCATGATACCCCTCATGAACAAACCAATCAATTTCATTGCATTTTATTTAATTTGAGTTTTGATCTTATAAACAGTTCATCAATATTTCTATGTTTAATACATGTATATGGGACCATAAGAGTTATAAATAACTCTGCGTATTTCATCCTAATGAATAGAATTCAAACGTCCTTTCTTCATGCCATTTATTCATAGGTTAAACGTCATGACTTTGACATTGTGTATGTCATTTTATCATTTTTAGATATTAGCTGTCTAAATTAAATATGGTCAACATGCTTTTTCCAAATAGATTTGAAATTATGATACAAGCTTCCTAAGACGTCCGTGTATTTTTCTTTAATAAGGCCCTTGAATTCAAGTAGGTTGTTTCTCTGATTTGAATTCCTTTGATAATTATTGGGACAACAACATTTATTTAAACATATGTCTGGTGAAGGGCTCCAAACTTAGACTTGTAAGCGGCATTTTAGGCCATTGAGCAGTGGGGGATCTTTTTCGTGCTAGTATCTACTGCGACACTGGACCCAAGTTTTTATGTTCTCTTTCGAAGAACCGGTTTCAACGTCCCGCATTGGGTTTTGAACCTGCAACTTACATGTAGAAAATAGCTCCTTACTTCGAGACTCCAAAATGAAATGCTCTAGAACCACTGCACAGTTCGAAGCCCAAATTGAAAAAGTACATTGCATGTGTAAGCACTGGAAGCTGCTAGTAAGTATGAAAAAATACTCGGATGTCCGGTCTTTGCATACCCGAGAATCTTTTCAACAGATTTCTGTATTCAATTTCAACAAATTTACTCTGGTATGAGATATTTCACAAGTTCTATTGAATAATAATTGTGAATTAATTTACCTTAAATGTTATTCTAAACGGCATTTGTATGGTATTCTAGCTGTTTACAAATGGCTTTCTTTTGTACTTAACTTATTTATAAAGGTATTATTCCATTTAATTTTAAGAATGTATTTTCAAAGCTGCTGTCAAAATAAAAATTATTTGCCTACCTACCTACCCAACTTGAGGTTTTTGGGTCGGGTTAGGGGAAACAAAGATATTTTTAATGATGACCTTGTCAGAAAATACAATCTATCATTAAGTCAAATGCTGACTGATTTTTTTCATACTAATTGTTGGGCAATTATTTACACACTGGATTGTCGACGAATTTTTCCGTTATTTCCCGATCATGATAAGGAGCACACGGCGGGTGTGACCGGTCGGCAGGAAATGCTCACTCCTCCATGGCACCTGATCCCACCTCTGATGTCTTAGAGGTCCGTGTTTGCTCTGCTCTTATTTTGTAATGTTTAATGGACTTTTGAGCTCGAATACTGTTCGTTATCTTCACATATTTTATTAAGCATATTTCATCAATTTCCATTACAAATACTGTAGCAGTTTAGTTCATTCTTATCCCATTTTCATGTATTAAGTCGTGATATATGTAACAGTCATTAACAGGGATAATTGTCTACAATCAATCTAGCAAGAAATAAATAAATACAAAAGCAAACCTTTTTACGTTGGTGTATTCATAGATATTTGTATTACTAGGTAAGTAATTTAGAAAAACAAATTTTTGAAGGGGAAATACACAACTGTACCAGTATGCAGCACCACTATTGCGACGTATTACCTTAACATTTACCCTAAAACATTATAATGTTTATCATACACTTACGGTATAGACCTGTTGAAAATGAGTGATTAATTTTCATAATTTCTTGTCGTTGTTGTCTCCTTATAATCAGCAGGACCCCCTCTCTCTCTCTGGGAAAAGGAAGGGCAGTGCCTGCATTCATCTATGGATTATGAGTATATATTTCGTTATGATGTGTTTTCTTTATTGTTAACACCGGCTACGTCTACAACACAAGTACTAAATGCTGAACTTGTACTTAAAGTTTTAATAAAGACATAACTACTGACAAAGCGATAATTTTCGCTGTCGAATCCCATAAAAAAAACTTTCAAAAGAAATGCCATATTTGTCAGTGAATATGTCAGTAAATTCAGGGAGAGAGAGACTCGAATCCTATTAGCATAGGACTGCATCCTCCTATACCCTCTCCCCCAACAAAAAAGAGCTTTTTATTTATTACTTTCTCCATTTCCGTTTACTCAGGTACATGCTTACATAAACAATAACACGGTACAATGTTAAGTTAATTGATTTAATTCCTAAAAGAAATTGATATTTTACAATTATTTTTGGATTAAATTAAATAAACAATGTATATTCAATAATTCCTTTTTGTTTTTGTGACACCAGGGCTTCTTAAATCACAGATATTTTTTACGATGATCTCGTCGTCGTCTTGAAAATAGGACAAAGATTAGGAAGTCTCCTAAAATAGGATAGCTTCGTAGGTCTCACATAAGACTAAGATATGTCTTAAGTTCGTCTTGAGAAATGTCTTAGTCCGAAGACAGCTTCATGAGCATGCATGCAGAACCGTAGAACAACGATGTTCAAATTGCACGGAGCATATATGGAGAACTTCAAGCTTAGGACTTCATCACAATAAATACATACGGAACTTAATGTCTCCAATTCATCAAGTAAACGCAAAAAATCACTTTTCGGAAGCATATTTCAACAAAAAGACTCATCAACATGTATCTAAAATTATGTCTTTGATCAATACATGCACAGAAGACTCAGATAAGATTTACAGTCCATTTTTTTCACTATTATGGATACAGTTTCACTTTTATTAAAAATTTGTTTCCAGTACATCACACTATGTTTTAACATATGTGTACTGTAAACCTGGAATACGATGGTTTTGATTTCAGTGTCACGCAGAATTTTCCATGTATATTAAAACATAGTGAATATGTGGATAGATCGGACAATCTTTGCATTCATATAGCAAAATGTTAAAACCCAACTTTCCTATTCTGTAATAGTAAAAGAGTAAATTATTGGGAAAAAGTAAGGAAACTGAAGGTTAATAGCAACAGATTTAAGAAGTAACTTACATGTAATACTTTTGTAATAGATCATTTTCCACAGCTTATTTCTTTCTTTTTTTGTAAATAAAGAATGATTTCTAAAGTCACAAATATTAAACAATCAGAACAATTATTACTGTAAAACTGAACCACTGTGAAATGTTCAAGTTTAGATAATCTTGAAATTTTTAACTTGAGGAATTAAAAGAAATTAAGCAGCAAAAAGAAACAGGAAAGCAAAGAGACAAGTGTGAAAGACAAACTATCTAAACCAAGGTTTACTGGAAGATTCTTGTTGGCAGCAGGTTTACTCTGGACAAATCTTTATATGGACCTTTGTTTCAGCCCAATGTTAAAGGTTTTGAAGAATCATTTAAACCCATTGTTAAGCTCATATTGCTGAGAATGATGAAAGGATATTTCTATTGCACTGAAGTACAAGCTTATAAATCTAGAAAATTACGATTGATTTTTTTTTAAAAATATACACTTAAAATCGTTTTTTAAAATAAATATTACCACTTCGTCTAATTTATGCTTAATTGATTGTTATTTCATAAAATAAAGCACCGACCAATTTTGAGGTTTGCAGAATTGAATGCCAGCTATGTTATGTTTGGTGCCAATCTTAATACGTGTTGACTGATGCCCTATGCCAAAGATTCTGAATGATGTCCTTCTAATGCCGATGTTTATGTTACTGGGGATGGTAGACATACATGTTAAAATTCAGAAATTCATTGACAGTTATATGTACCTAGCCGTAATAAATTCTTATTCATGTAATGTAACTAAAAACCAAGGGTTATTTTTGTACAGTTAAAATAATTTTGTCATAATTATCAGTTGATTTATCGTTGATGTTTTTCCGTTTTCTTTGAAGCTGCTCATAATTAGTATTCATCGTCATAGTTCCAATTACAGCAGCATACGTCTCCCGTACTTCTTTAAATGATTTTATAGATCTATTTAAAAAATAAAATGTTAAAAACATCTGTCATGCTTATGAATACATAAAATAAAACACACCAATAATGCTCTAAATATTTTGCATGAAAATGCTTTTCTTGCATTATCATATGATTTGGTATTACATGTACCTGGTTTGATACAACAGTAGTATGGCCAAAAACATGACAATCAAACTCATTATGGTTGATATTGGTATGAATATAGATAGGCAGACCTCTGAAATATAAATTTAATTCAACTGGAATTAATAAAACGAAGAAATCAAAATCCTGTAAAGCACCTAAGCCAAGCAAACTATACAATTCAAAGACGATTCCTTTTCGAAAAACGTGCTTCTCAAATTGTAGGATTTGCAAAATAAAAGGTATTTTTCTGCATTAAACGTAGACATATCAAAGTATGCATATTATATTATTCAGCTAGAAATCAATAAGAAGTCCATACAAACGTAATAAACGTGTTTAAACATCTCTAAACTTTAGTTATCAATGCGCACTATTTTTTTTAGACATCAGACAAACAGTAGAAACTTGAATCTAATTTTAAATTATAAAATTAAAAAAAATATTTTATTAAAATACACAAGGCTTACATTCACAAAAATTCTCAAGTAAAAAGTAATTCACTTTTCATTAAAATTTATATAACTCTCAGAACTTAAGTGAAAAATGAAATGTGACCCTTTCTTTTTATATGCATGCAAAAAAATTAAATGGCATTACTCTGTCATTGAATTTTAAAAACACTTCATTCTGACATGTTAAATCTTTTTATTTATACTTATCGCGAAATGGCTCTTAGACGTCTAATCGCAAAAACAAAAATTTGCTAGTGGAAGGTTGATCAAGAGATTTTACATGGATTTCAGCACCAAAGCGGATAAAGCTTCTTGCGTTATTGAGCGATACTTAATTCCTCACATATATTTAAGTATCTACAGTACCATGATGTCAAGCAGCAAAATATCGGCAACTTTAACAGTTAAAACATTCCGTTTTGTTCAATAAAGTAATTTTTTTTTAAGTAAAATACAATTCTTAAAACACCCTTTAATCTTTAATTTATGTGTGGTTTTAGATTTTCAGAATCATCCGTTACTCAGTTCAACATTTTTGTAAAGCTCTACTTTTTGCATGAAATACAATCATTTTTAAGCGTCTGTGCATGCTCTCAGCCTATTTTGTGGTATGTTTTCACTATTTCTGTTTACTCCGTTTTGAGAATTCGACTAGACTAGTTATGCTTCCTTTGCTAAATAGAGTCAGGCTAACCTTTCGATTTTTTCATCATAAATATCAAACTGACAAGAGAATTCCCGAATGGACAACATAATACTAGTATATCAAAACGACTTAATAATTCAGTGTTCGGACTGCATGTTATGCGAATGCACCAACTACATGCAACACATAATAAGAGACAGTATGCAATTAACCAAACGTCTGAATATTGTAATATTTGACGAAATTTTTTTTATGTTTGAGGACATGTTATAAGTAAACGACCAAGTTATATTTATTTTTTAAAATATATAAAAGTGTACACTGCGTGATGAATTTTTTGACTTAACAGATATACAGTTTAGATCAAATGATATATACATGTAGCTTTAATACTTTAATAGCATGCTTACTTCGTATTGCATCAAGTCTACTCATTGATAGGGCGATTTAACAACGTCGAATAATTCAGTAACAATATGCAATTTGAAACGTCTGAATAATTCTATACCTGACGAGATAATTTAATATTTTAACTACATTATATGTGAAAACGACTTAAAGTTATATGTAAGCGACCGAGTAATTTTTTGACAGTATAGAGTAGAATTTTCACTCTTTGTTATACTGAACCGACTTAACGATATACGTTTTAGACTTAATGGTGCATAGTTCAACCATTTACAGTATTAAATATTTTATCCTTTCGATAGACATGAGTTCCATAGACAATTTTGGAAAACAACTCATGCAAACTTTTACTGTCTCTTATTATGTGTTGCATGTAGTTGGTGCATTCGCATAAAATGCAGTCCGAACACTAATTTTTTTTCCAGATGATGAAATGAAAAGTGCTCATGCAAAATATGTCGATTTCAGAATCTCTTCTCGTTAAAGATTTTATGCGGCAAACTACAAAGTTACTTTAAAGTTTTACATTTATCTGGACCAAATCAACATCATTTATATCTATAAGAATACTTGTACTTGCAAATATCTTTATTTCAAATTAAATTTCCATTACGATTCTTTAAAAGAAGGAACCCGATTAAATCATGAACTTGCATGGATGAGCATGAATATCTTCATGACAAATGACAATTCCATGAATTAATTTGTGGCCAGAATCGGATAAACGACCCTTTTCATAAAATATGTCGACATGAAACGTCGTAGTTCATTTCCTCATGAATTTACATGATTTTTTTTTTTATATTTTATCATTTAATTTCTGCAATAATAATATGGATGTTTAATGATAAATGATAATGTGAACATTTCATAACTTACTTTGAGACATTTCAGAAGGTAATTCCAAAGTTGAAGAAGCTGGTATTTCCGTATATTTTGAGATAAAATGGGATGTTGTAGTTTCTATGTTCTGTTCTGTTGTGGTTAAGTTTGTGATAGGTAAAATTTCTGATGGAAAACGAAGTTATAAACTATTCAGAGTTTTTACATTTGTCGTAAAGGTAGTACATGTATTTTAGGTACAATTGAAATCATTTTCTTTTTTTTTTATTTTGATTGATTCATGTGACATGCTAATATGATACTTAGTACTACAGTATCAAAATGCATTGGGTTTATAACAATTCTTTGGTGTTAACCTAAGTTAAAGAGAGAGAGAGAGAGAGTCTCACCGCAACAAAGTTCTCTTCTTCTTCGGTCATTAACATTCCCTACTGCTACCTGCTGTAGGACGGTATTTTCGTAACAAAGCTCTCTTTTCCCGGTTGCATTGGGTTTTAAATAAAGTCTGTAACTTACAACTGATCCATCGCATGTTATGTTATCAATCATGTTCCTAACAACTGGCATGCTCCATAACGAGATTTCTGTATATGCAATGCATAAATCTATGTCATATACTGATGTTGCATTTTTATATTCTACTTAAAACGTGGTCATCAACTGAAAAAAAGTTAATTGAATAAAAAATCGTCGAAGGAATATATACACACACACACACACACACACACACACACACACACACACATATATATATATATATATATATATATATATATATATATATATATATATATATATATATATATATATATATATATATATATATATATATATATATATATATATATATCAATTAATTGATTACCAAGTATTTATAAATGAACCTATTTGTTGACAAATGTCTTAAGCATGAATCATTTTATTTTTTAAAAACAAGTCAAGGAACTCGTCCAAAACAAAGAAACCTGTGCATTTGTAACATCACACATACAACACAATTTTTATGTTGATTGAGTTAAAAAATAGTTTTAATTCCTAACTCTATTAATTATGGCAAATGAGGAGAGAGAGAGAAAGGAAAAACCTACGAGAAATGAAAATTTCCATAATATCAGGAATAAACTTTAAAACTACAATTCTTCATGAGTAAATTGACAGTTTCAGACTTTAAAAACAGTATCAGGATATTGAAAATAATATAGAATGACGTAAATGATGACAAAGCATTGTTAAGAAACAAAAGCAACAGTAGTCGTTTGTTCTTCAATTTACCCTGAAAGGCTATTTTAATTAAACTATTCTTGTTCCTACCTCAAAAGCCCTGACAGAAAATGTGAAGTTTACATTCATGTCGATATTCAAGTATTAGCATATGTCGAGGAATTCCTCTTCAAGTCTTTCTTTTGAGTCGTCTAAACGACGTAAAACATTCTTGCAATGTATGTATAGACTCCAGATGACATAGTACTTAATAGATACTACAGGAATACCTGTAGAGAAAAATAAATGGGAAAAGTATCGTGTACTTTCAGGGCATATGAAAAATTGCAATGCAAGTTTACCATATAATGATGCATTTCATGTATGCAGCATCTTAAAATACCATAATTTTCACACATTCGCATCATTTTTATTAAATTTAATACAATTTCTCACAATGTACACTTCGTAAAAAAAATGAAAGAGAAACACAAGTCATTCTCTTAATCGAAGCACTAGAAAATACAGTAATATAGTAAAGTGCTATAATAGAAAAGTATGTAGCAGATCAAGACATACATAATACTTGTAATTATAAAATTTGAGAATTTACAAAAAATACATTCTTTCACCTACGTGTACACGCAAGATGTTTTGAAGACCAGCTATAATTCTGACATTTATATGTGACCCTTTTCTCTCCATCCGTTAAAATGTATCCCTTATAACATTCTGCTGTACAAAAGTCATTGTGCGGACAGGAAACGTGTGCATTTTCCACCAGAATCTCCACTTTGTCTTGAGAACAGCACCAAATGAAGGCTTAATATAACAATTAAAGACAAACGTACAAATCATTTAAAACGGTCATTTTTATCAAATCTGGGCTATCGTTATATTGAGATGTGAATTTTTATTCTTATTCTTACCTGTAGACGGAACAGAGAACAATAGGATATCCACATGAAATTTCATTTTTGAAAAGGAAGTGTTGGCCAAAACCAAAGAAATTATAGATAATAGTAATATGAACACACCTATCGGGTCTCTATTACAAGATTGTAGGCATACACTGTAGTTTTATGATCTTCCTTGTTTTGATTGTTGGCATAAAACTGAGTTGATAATTCTTATATCTTTCATCTGAGTCACTGTGTTGCTGATTTAAGGTTCGATGAATATATGGACAAATATTATTTTTATCTGTAAGGTCATTTGTTGTTTGAAAGGGAAAATGAAGATTGAGCCTTCTGGATATTCAAAAAGTATTTCTACCAAAAATTTCTGTTTCAGTAGCTTGAACGAAAATTCAGTCACTGATCGATTATTCATTGTTTGACATTAAATTTCACACTGAAAAAAAACTTTATTCCTTAGTTCGATGTGTACACAACTATCCCAGTAAGTGTTGTAACATAACATTTTCAAAAATGTCTTTTGAAGGCCAAAAGATACTCAAAATCTGAGAAAAGCGGGGGTTTTAGAACTTTTTTGGTATTTTGTTGTTATTATGTCCAAAGAACAAGGTACAGTTTCAATACAAATCTGGCCCTGTATTTTTCTAAAATATGGAAGTGCTGTTAGAAATTAAAATTCATCCTTTCTGAATCATAGGAATTCCATGCAGTAAGAATATACAAATCATTTTTCTCATATGACCTCCTAAATGCTAATTGTGACGTCATGAACTTGTGCATTTTCCCGTATTTTCTTAAAAAGTTGCAGAAGACATCAATTTTCAGTGGAATTTTCTTTCAGATAATATAGAGCACATGCATCGCCCACAAAGATTTTGAGAAATGTGATTTTTTGAAGGATTCTACACAACGTTAACATATTTGAAAATTGAAGTGGGCGACAACTGTGGACACTGTTTTCTTAAGGGAAATAACCCCTGTAAGGAGTCATTTTGAGGCTTTTTCTGTTTAAAACTTAGATACATGTGTGTACGAAATTAATGACGTCATATTTCCAGAATGGTCTTTTTTTTTATGCCATGTTCTTTCATTATTTATCATATTCATATACTCAACTCATATTTAAGCCAATTTCATAACTTTTTGAAAACATTAAATTTTAAGGGCACAATAAAGCCCAAACTGTACTTTCTTCTTTATCTTTTCTTGTAAAATAACTGTAAAATTATGTTTATTTTTTAGAGATTTTATTTTTGATGTTTTTGCATTGAACGTTAGTAAAGTTATAAAAGAAAAGAGTTGGAGAGAAAGAAAAAAATAAGGCTGATTGATATGAATATTTCTTGATAAATTTGTGCTTTAGCATTAATAAAAACTGTTTTACACACATTTATAACACTTTTTCGTGCATTCTATGTCTTTAAAGCTTCTTGCAAAAAGATATCACGAGTGATTCTTATCAAAAATCCACCAAATCTTGTTAAGCTGTTTACACCGAATTCTATGATATTGTGATTAACTAAGGATCACAAAATGATTTTCTAAAGAAATTTGCAAATGATGACGGTTTATGTTCCTGTTTTACCTTCGAACCCGTATGATAATGTGTTTTATGAAAAAGGATTATACGAAATAAACATTAACTTTCTTTATTCTCTTTCCTTATTGTAAATTGGGTTTATAATATACACTTTATTTTAAGCAAAAACTATACATTGCATTATATCTGACATACTTGTAACGACTGAATTTCTTATATTTATAAATAACTAAATAAGACTTCTTCTGCGAAAATACATGTATGTGTAATAGGAGAAAAAAATACAAGTACGAAATATGGAGATAACAAACTGTATTCAACCTCAAAGTCCGTTAAAACAATATAAATCGGGAGCAGAGCAAACACGGACCTCCAAAACATCAGAGATGGGATCAGGTGCCATGGAGGAGTGAGCATCCCCGGTCACACCCGCCGTGTGCTCCTTGTCATGATCGGGTAATAACGGAAAAATCCGTCGACAATTCAGTGTGTAAATAATGGCCTAACAATTTGTATGAAAAACGCCAGTCAGCATATGACTTAACGAGAGATTGTATTTGCTGACAAGGTCATTGTATCGACGATAGAACTTTAACAAATAGAGATGATGACTTTAAACGAGACTTGTTTCATCAACTTGTTTGTCAATAACTTACCTCGTTTTAGAAATTGTTCATACGTAGTGCATGCTCTTGCGTATCGAATCAACTGAGAGATATACACCCCATATGCAGGTGATAAGGGTATATTGCTGCATAAGGAAGCTTATGCAGGAAGTTGACGATTGAAAAGTTAAAGTCATCACATTTATCATAAAGCTTGGTTGTTAGTTTACCATTAACATCTTTTTCTAGTAAAATATCCAAATATGAAACAGATGTGTCAGACTCTGTGGTATCTTTTATTACAAGCTCACTGGGATATATCGTGTCGATATATGAATGAAAATAACTATTGTTAATTGATAATACGTCGTCTATATATCTCAATGTCGAGTTGAAGGCCACAGCAAGAGATTTCTTTTTCTCTTGTATAAAATTTTGAATAAATTCTGCTTCATATGAAATATATGGTAATAACAAACAGTATTCAAGCTCAGAAGTCCATTACACAATTAATACAAAGTTTGGAGCAGAGCAAACACGGACCTCCACAACATCAGAGGTGGGATCAGGTGCCATGGAGGAGTGAGCATCCCCTGCCGACCGGTCACACCCGCCGTGTGCTCCTTGTCATGATCGTTCGTTCACCGTTCGTTCAACGTGCGTTCACCGTTCGTTCACCGTGCGTTCACCGTTCGCTCTCCGTTCACAGTTTTGCGTTCACCGTGCGCTCGCGTTCACCGTTCACAAAGCGTTCAGCGTTCGCTCTTCGTTCCGTTCACTTTGCGTTCACCTTGCGTTCAGCGTTCACCTATCGTTCAGTTTTCATTGTCATTCGGAACTCCGAAGTGAAAGGACTTATCTTTTTGTAGGTTAGGGGTTATAGGTTTTTTAATTTAATAACTAACATATCGTGTTTGAAGAAGCTTATTTCATGGGGAAAATATCTACGATATTTGTTTTTGTTATTCTATCTTAGCTGTTAGGCTATTTATTAAATTACTCTGGAAAATAAATGTTGTTATAAGCACATTCTGTACCTATGTAGAACGATGCTGAAATATTAAATTTAACTAAGGGCAATGTGCAAATACTTCAAACACTGCAACATTTTGTTGTTTTGTTAAAGACGATAAAGCGTTAATGGAGATATAATTATCCAAGTCAAATAATTACGCAGCAAAATTACGAAAATATTTATTTCTAACACTTTTTTTCAATTACTACAGAAAATATGATAGAACTAGTTCTGAGAGTTATACATAGTACTGCGGATATCGTGTTAATTTATTATCTTTGGAGCGAATTAAATTGATAGTGTAGTTAAGGAAATATTTATTTAAAATGTAATGCACTACAGAATTTTCTCTACTATAATATGTAAAGTCTATAGCTATAGAGAAAAAAATCTTTCTTCACCGTAACTTTATATGTTTGCCATTCGATATGATTAATACCCCCCCCCCCCCCACTTTTCCCCCTAAATCGGTTACTTAGTCAGTATTGTATTTCCAGAATATTTTAATTAACATTTTAAAAAAAAGTTAAGGTCTTTTTTAGAACAAAAATTTCAGTCTCAAAACAGACATGCATCTAAAAAAAAAGTCACAAAACAATAGTAGTTCAAAATGTACACGTGTCGGCGGTGGTATTTGGAATTGGCAGAGAGTATGTTTCAAATTCAAGTGTTAATGCCCAATGTATTTTATTCAATTATTATTCAAATGTTGGAATCAAATCTAGAAATGATAAAAATAAATGTTATAACTTGTTGGAAATACTCGCACTTCGTCTTTGATGTGACGAAACTTTCACACCTGCACAGTGTCGAATGATTTTGATTGACAGGATATATTTAGAAAAAAATTTCAGAGTTTTTGTTTGATATAGGTACAAACATTTAGTGAAGCCTGAAATGGGGGGGGGGGTGTTAAAACGGAATATTTCTCTCTCTCTCCCTCATTTGTCTGTTTAATAAAAACTATGACAGCATATTACTTGAATATCAAGTTCTGAAAATTGAATTTATAACAAATAATGTGAATATGTATCTTTGTATTATCCTGTCCGAGTATAATCACGGCCATCTACAGATAAATGTAGAAGTCTGCTCAATAAACATGGCCGTAGGAACCGGGGGGGGGGGGCAAGGGGGGTCCGTGCCCCCCCCCCCCCTTATTGCCG